CAAGTGTGGTTTTAAAAAAATAATTATAATATATATGTGTGTGTGTGTGTGCATATATATATATATATATATATATATATATATATCAATCATATACACACATACACAAACACTATATGAACACAGATCCTAAAGGAGAAATATGCAAGTCCTAAATATATGATGACTGAAAAGTAACTGCCTATTTTATGTATGAGTAACCAGCCTGGGGTCCTGATTTAACACCCTGTGACTTTTTTCTTTGGGGTTGGTTAAAGGGTGCAAGCCTACTGTACCAAACTAAGACTTTGGAAGAACTTGAAGTCAAATACAAGAAGTTATATGTTCCATTCCACAAGATTTCCTGGTGAAATCAGTTGACTGATTCCTGGTCAGCTCTTGAAGTTGGTAGCAAAATCTGGTGCCAATATTGAATTTTAAAGAAAACCTCATGCTCGATGCTTTCCTCTCATATCAATTACTTGTAAAAATTATAGTTCATAAATTATAAGTATTTTAAAATGAGGAGTTATTTTCAATCACTCTGTAGATATTTAATAACCTTAGCTTAGTCTGACACAAGGTCATAGTGAAGGAGCAGCAAATTTGTTTACAAGTTTATTAACAATTGTGATTATTTTACATTCAGAAGTTACACATACTTTTGGTATTTCACACATACAAAATATATCTTATTAAATGGATTAAAATATACTAAAAATCTCTCTGGAAGCTTAAATTTTTTGAAGTTTTTTATTCATAACTTTTGATCAATAGAAAATATATTTAAAAAATCATTTCATTGAAAGTGAAAATATTCAATAATAATAGATTAACATTGGCAGATTAATATTATGAATCTTTTTTCTAAGAAATAATCTGTGTTATTTACATTTGGATTAATGTCTAAATATTTGTTATAATCTTAAAATTTTTGTCTATTGTGCCCTTGGGCTTTTTCACATGTCTGTCAATCCATATAAATTACAGGGAATTTTGAACTGTACTTTTTACCAGGATTGACAGGAAACTGAAGAAAGTCTTAGAGCCCAATAGCCAAAACTAAAATGATAACAACAACAAAGATTAATTAATTACATTCAGTAAATAAGAACTCTTCATTTTAGAAATTCAGTGAGAAAATAAATTATAGCTTAAGGATTTATAGCATATTTTTTTTTAATTCCAAGAAACATTTTTTCCTCCCTATGATAAAATCCTTGAGAATCACTACCAAATAAGCATTAAATCTTTTTCTAATATACTCTTTTGCCAAATTAAGAAAGAAAAGTAAAACTTTCAAATATTATATTATTTTTTAATTTCATATTTTTAACATATGATCAACCAGTTCAAAGCCACATTCATGCACAGCATTTTAAAAATCAAGGACTTGTATGCTGGAGCATTGTCCTGATGAAACAAGACCCCTTTTTTTCAGTTTTCCTGGGCATTTGGTCTTGATAGCCTTTTATAACTGCCTCAGCAAGTTGGCATAGTACTCTCCATTGATGGTGTGGCCCTTTTGAAGATAGTCTATAAATACAATGCCTTTTGCAGCTCCAAACACTGAGACCATAACCTTCTCTGCAGATGAAACAACCTTGGCCTTCTTTGGAGTAGGTGAGGAGGGGTGTTTCCACTGCATGGATTGTCTTCTCATCTCTGGCTCAAAGTGATGAACCCAACACTCATCCTGGGTTAGGAAACATTCAAGGAAATCAGCTGGATCTGCCTCAAACATTGTCAGATTTTCCCATGATGTGATCAGCCTGTACACTTTTGATCAGGTGTCAGAAGATGTGAAACCTACCAAGCAGAAACTTTTGTCATGCCAAAATCATTGTGCAGAATATTCTCAACTCTCTCACGGGATATGCTAATAGCATTGGCTATTTGATTTACAGTCAATCACCTGTCACCCAACATCATGTGGTGAACACAATCAATGTTTTCCTTGATGGTGGCAGTTGCAGGGCATGCAGACCTTGGGTCATCTTCAAGACTCTTCCTTCCCCTCCTAAATTCAGCTGCCCACTTTTGCACTGTTGATAAAGCTGGGAGCATCATCCCCTAGGAACCATGTCAGCATGAATGTCCTTTTTTAGGCTAAACCCTTTTTCTGCAGGTACTTGATAATACCATGATGCCAAATTTTGTCCATTTTCAAGAGAAGTCACTACTAGTTACTTTTTGAAGTCTTCTTTGAAAGTCAGATGTCAGTTTACCTGGAAGAAACAATGCATTTATTAATAAAGAAGAGTTGAAATTAATGCATTCCTCGGGGATTGCTCTCTTGGAAGTGAGATGCTATTAAATGAGCTTGTGTACTATGTTACTATGTGCCTGCCAATTCAGATCTTGCATTCAGATTTTAGCAAAACATAGCATGACCCAGGTTTCTCAGCATCACTCCTACAGTCTAAATTTGGCTTCTTGTAACATTGGCTTTTCCCATTGAAAAGGAAATTTCAGATTGAAAGAGAATATGACAAAGCAGCTGATGATGTTCATGGAAGAGGGTTTTGCAGATGGTTTTAAAAAAGAAGCTATACTATGCTTTAAAAGAAGCTATGTTTTAAAAAAGTAAGAAGCTATAATATATGAGGTCCCAAGTGGAGGAATTTGAAAAGAACTCCATCACCATTGCCCTAAGGAGGTTAGATGCTTTCTGGACAGACCTCATATAATTAAACAAGATCCAAATAATTCTGGAGATGCAGTGGTAGCCTAAGTCTGAACCTAGAACCAATAAACTTTAAACAAGTATTCAACTTGTCTAAAGTTTATAGGAAGATTTTTGCCTTTTATTATTTTGTATCAATATTAATTATAATAAATATTATTATCAATTTTAGAGGTTACTTGTATTAAAATAATTTAAAAGGAGAAAATACAATGACTATGCCATAGGCTGTAATTACATTATATATATATTTTATGGCGTCATCTGGAAGAAGTGAAAATTAATTTTACTATAAAAAAATACATATATTTTTAATGCACAAGTGTCACTTTATAATGGTTATTATGTAAGTAGACAACAGGAAATAATATATATATATTAATGCAACAGCATCTATCTACTTACATAATGCGGGCATTGTGCTCTAAAAGAAAAACAATATTATAGCTTTACTAAATAATAAAACCTAAAACAGTAAACCTGTCTGTGATTTTTGTTTCCATTTCTTCCTTTTTTTCTTTCACTCACGTTTCTTTTTCTCTAGTTTTCTTACCTTATCTACCTTTACTTCTTTTATACCCACTCCCACTCTTCATTCTTGCTTTTCACGATTCTGTAATTTGGAAATGAACAGATTGACAGTTGATGGCTATACAGAAGTGTGTATCATTTGTTCTCAGATACTACACTGATCCTTGGTAGAAGTTCTGGGAAGTGATATTTTGATTCTAA